TGTTCACCTTCCCTCCTCATGGACCTAGCAGCTCGTCCATCAGCGATTCAATGGACGGCATACTGCCGGGCCCAGCAGAGTGAGGTCATCTTGCTGCTGCTCCTCACAGCACCTACCTGTTTGCATGATAGCATGAGCTGAGCTCCCATTCTCCTCCACCCAGCAGCGACCATGGTCGCCCTCATCACAATTCACAGGCTTGGATCCAGCGGCAGCAGCTGAAACCGGTGTCCTCCCCCCTTCCTCCAGAGGCCGCGACGAAGCACTACGCGTCAGCGAGGAGCATGATGAACATGTCGGTGGGGGCCACGGGACCCAGGGAATCCTGCGCCGGACACGATATTGTTGTTCCCATGCGACAGGATGGGTAACTAGTATACTACTCCTATGAATCAAATAATAACAAAATTGGTATAGCTTCAAATAGGTGAATAGTAATGTCATATATCATAACCATAAAAGTTATAATTGCATAGATCCAATTGACCCATAACTAAATGACTAATATTATTTTAAATAAGAGAAAAGAGATGAACAGTGGACAATGATGGTCTTCAATGAAATGGCAGTGAAATTTCCTGTAACTAGGTTAAACCCCGTGCGTGTTGTTGCGGGAGTTTAGTATGATAGCACTAAGTAAAAGTAAAGTGTAAGATAGCTACACAATATAAACTTACGTAAGTTGATGTGGTTTCTAATTGAGGTTTACGATAATTTAAATTTAAATAGTATATAGAATGATGATTCAAACATAAAAGTGAGTTTTTTTCGCAAAACATAAAAGTAAATTGATGTGGCTTTCTGAGAGAAGAAAAGGCGGGAGATAGTTTGGATCATAGATTAATCATCTAATAGCTAAAAATAATTGAGGAGATATGACTTAATAAGAGAAGAAAAGGATGTAGGATCGAAATTCAAGAACTAAGCCAACCAGAGGGGGTGAATGGTTGGTGTACCCAAAAACCAAAACTTTTAGCGGAATTAAAAGTTACCCTCAAATTTGACGGATCGCGGTCTGATCGAAAGCGATACGCTGGTCTGACCGCCTGGAAGTCGTCGGTCTGACCGAGGTAGTAACACCAATTGAACCGCCGAGATCAACTCCAGAAGTCGCCTGATGCCGTCGCTGGTCTGACCGCCACTTCTTCACTGGTCTGACCGCCGTCATGTCGCCTGTATGACCGCTGATGACTCATCAGTTAGACCGCTGAACCAGAGAAAACACAAATTGAAGAAGTCACAAAGTAGATGACAACTTTATTACTTCTGTCTGTATTTACAAAGTGCAACAATAGCACTCCTCACGAAAATCTCGACTAAACTCAAAACCCTAGTTAAACTATCAACTCAATGCTCTCAAAAGCGATACCGGGAAGCCTCACGCTCCCTCTCTATTTATACATGAGGTGGGCAGCCTAAAGCCATGAACCAAACCCATACTAGAAGTCCTAATCCATCTAGGAAACCTTCTCATACAATAAACAAACTTTACAAACTCCAATCATACCAAATTTGGACTCCTTCCAAATTCGACTCCGTTTCCCATACGCACACAATACCTTCACCGTATGCCATATGGAATCTTCACCAACCACATGCATTGAACTCTAGCCTAAATATCCTGCATGATATCTGACCGTCACGGACGTGGCCTTATCCCCAAGTCGACTCCCGATCCATCACCGACGATACTCTCCCGAGGCATCAAGTGACCTACACATGGATCGAATAAAGAAACCATATTCCGAGGCCAAGCTATCTCCAACTTGACTCATTGTTAGCAAACAATAGTATTACATACGCATAGTATCCATCTAGAAGCCATAAACACGAAACAATCACGGATATCCAAACAAACAACCCGAAACCGAAACCGACACAGAGTCGGCCAGTCAGACCGCGGGCTAGCCGGTCTGACCGTTCGCATAACTACGGTCTGACCGGCCGCACCAGCCCGGTCTGACTAGACCCTACAAAACAGTAACCCTGTTCATCACCTGAAAAATCAATCATCTTCAAAACCACTTCACCAATAATCTCCAAATATCAAAACCAATAATCACAGATGCCAATTGTTCATCACAGAATAAGAATCAAAAACACTTTGATTTTACAAAGGAGGGGAATAATTTGGACAATAGATAATCATCTAAGGACAAGACAATTGTTGTGATATGGCTTAATGAAAGAAGATAAAGAGCACATTAACTAAGTTAGGAGTTAGGATGAACTATATAGGTACATAAGATATTATGAAAAGAGATGATGAGACATATTAAAATATTATGTGAATTATATGAGATAATGATTTAACATGCTTGCATTTGAAAAGCTATAAAATTTAATAAGTATAAAATTATAGATAACATAATATGCTTGCATGATGTTTAAATGTCCTAGTTGTTATAGTAGATGATGTGACATCTTTGCATGTTAAGCTTTAGGATTTAGTGGGTTCTAACTTTATAGTAATAGAGGATTAACGAAAAATCAGACTCATGTGTCACCTCTGTTGGCGAATACGGAGGCGAAGGCGCGTCTCGCCTGCCTCGCCTCCAACGGAAATGCGGCCCCCTGTGGTGGTGGCCAACGGTGGTGGTGCCTCCCTCCCTCCCCCCTCTCCGGCAAGATCCAGGCATCTCTCCAACGTGAGAGGCCAAATCCCCTATTGCGGTGGTGGCTGGCGATGGTCATGATGGTAGCAAGAGGGACGACCAGATTTGGCCCCTTCTAGTCATATCTGGCGCGTCCCAGTTGGGGTCGGGCAAGGCCAAAACTCCGGTGCGAGGTCGTTCGGCAGAGCTTGGAAGTCCAATGATGCCAACGGTATGGCTTCACAACTCGGTGCAGCTCTGCTAGTCCGGCTAGGTGGCAGAGCTGGTCGTCAATGGTGTCTACCCGGTCTTTGTGCAGGTCGTGGTGTGAATAGTACAGGTACCTTCGGTGTGCAGCTAGCATTTGGTGGCTTCTGCTGGTGCTACAATGGCAACGCTCTCGGACGTTCACTACACCAGATCCTCACGCCTTTGACGGCATATCTGTGACGGGCTTCAGTGCTGGTCAGTGATGAGGGTCACCTTTGACGGGTCCTACAGGATGCCGTCATCGGTGAGGCATCCGGCTGCAACCCGTCACAGGTGACTAGTCACCTGTGACGGGTATTATATTTGCAACCCGTCAAAGGTGATGTATCTCAACTCAAACGAGTTAACATATTATACCCATCAGAGATGACTTAAAAAAATCCCCCCACCGCCCTCCCCACGAACCCCCTACCCCCACGTCCCCGCACCCACCCCGTGCGCCACTTCTGCTCCCCTCATCTGCTCTCTTCTTTCTTCCACCTCTCATCACTCTCCCAAGAAGCCTCCACATGGATCCGGGGGCCTCCAATCCGAAGAGCTCCATCGTATGGAAGGCCGCTGACGTGCCAGTTCTGAGGAAGGCTCGGTCTGGTATGTGCTTGGAAACCACCAAAAATTTTGGCATCTCTGGTGTTCTTCGTTCTTCTCCATATGGCTAACTCTGTCCCCTTGATTTTCTTCAGCTTCTACAAAGAGGAGTTCGCACAAGTGGTCGGTCCCTTGCGGTGGAAGCGGCGGCGGCGGCGGCGGCGGCAGCGGTAGCGTCCCTAGAGACACCTCACAGATCCAGCGGCCGTCCTCACGGCCGATCTCTCCAGCGTCCAGCTCTTCCACCGGACCTGCAAGGAAGAAGCTGGTTTGTGTCACATATCTCCTCGCCTCTTTGGATTTTACTGATTTTTCTCTCGATTTTTAGCTGATTTTCTCTATTGGTTTTTCGCCGCGTCGGCCGCCGCCACTGTACTCCGGGACATGGATCCGGTCGCCGTTGCCGCCTTCCCTGCCTCCCAACTGATGGCCACCCGCGGATCTGGCCTCCGGGATGCAGATCCGGCCGCCACCGCCTCTTCCTCCAAGGCCACCCGACCGCTGGCCGCTGGATCCGGCCTCCACGAGGTTTAGAGACGTGGATCCGGCGACCACCGCCTCCATCCCCCAACCGTTGGCATCCGTGGCCTCTTCCCCGACTCCTCCAACGCCACCCGACCGCCGGCGTCCGCGGCCTCCACCGTCTCCTTCACCCACCAGAGCCGCCGCCATTTTGACTCTTGCTTGATTTTTTGTTATCTTGCAAATGTTCATTGCCAAATTTTAGATTAGGCCATATTCTGTGTTGTTTGTGTGGATGTCTAGTTTGTTAAGATGCAGATCATTAACTGTGTGATGTATATTGTTACTCAAGTTGTGTGATGTTGGCTTGCATCTTGGGATAAATCTTGCATCTTTTGCTTCATGTTGAGAGCTGGTGGCTGAGGGCTTTTGAATTTTTTTTTTATGATTTTTCACACCTGTGACGGGTGATAAATTAAACCTGTCAGTGGTATATGTCACCTTTGACGGGCTGGAAAGAGTCATCCGTTACAAGTGATTCTCACCTGTGACGGGCTATTTCTATGCGGCCGTCAGAGGTGTTAATCACCATTGACGGGCTTTCACCCGTCAGAGGTGAGGTGCAGTTATCAGTAACCACTAATCTCTGACGAGGGCCAAACCCGTCAGAGGTGATGATATGGGCCCGTCAATGGTGAGAGGATCCAGCGTAGTGGTTGTTCACCTTATTGAAGGCATTGATATTGGAGCCCTTATTCAATTCTACATCAAGATATTTCTCCGGATGAAAACCTTAAGATTCGTTTGGATCGGGTGATGTGTTGTCGTTCCCTCGGTGTATCCTTCTTGAAGGCTTCGTTTTAGGAGTTTTTTCTCTTGTTGGACTGTTGTTATTAGGTTCAGTATGCCAATGCCAGGGTTTTCGTCGGTTTTACATAAATTAACCATGTTTACGTAAGGTTTTTGTTCGGTTTTCCTTATAAAATGAATCAACTCACTCTGGTTTTTGGGTCCGGTTTTCCATATCCTTTTTGCGCCTACAGGTTGTAGGATAGTAGAAGGTCTTCCCACCCCCAAACGCTAGCCAATTAGGTGAGGGGCTCCCCGGGCCACTTATATATCAGTTTCTTTGTCCTTACACAACCAATGTTACATCATGCATTTGGTGGAACAACATAAACCTGCTACCCTTATTTGTGGTTTAATTTATCACGTGGCTGTTCCACCAATATCACGTTGTCCTAGCTCTGCCAACGACTTCATCTTCATTATCTGTCGTTGGCTGTGGAAACCAATGGTAGCCCATCTGATCTGTCCTTTCGTCAATTCTCAAGTGATATTGTTCTTACTCCAATAGCTTGATTGGTATGGGTTCGAGGAGTGATGTGGTGATGGGCAAACCCATCATTCAATTTCTTTAATCAAACAGATCATCAAGAATTAAATTGTTTAAAAAAATCTAGATATTTTTTTTATATTAGCATGAGCATACTTGATTTTATTTAAAGAGGTGTGCCATCACGCTAGCTGGTTCCACACACGTAGCCTATCGTCTGTAAACTGCATTTCGCCATATAGCTTTGTTTACCTGATACATTTCGTTCTTGATCATGTCTGAAGACATGGTGAGCTCACCCTCGCTCTGGCGCCCTCCTGTTCCCATCAAAGACGCGATCGAGCAAGATGCCATCACCCCGTTCCCCAAGCCTGAGGCTCCAGAGGAGGAGGAGGAGGAGTCACAAGGCGACTGCTACCGCCGCCTCATGTCATCCCTACCGGTGAAGGTCTACGGCGAGCGCCGTTACCTCGAGTACCAGGCGACGTGGTGGCCTGAGTCCGCCGTCCAAGCCGTGATCGCCATCCAACGCCGGTTCCGGCCGAGGCCATCGGATGTGCTCCTGGCCTCCTACCCCAAGTCGGGTACCACATGGATGAAAGCACTCGTGTTCGCGATCATGTCGCGCAAGGTTTACCCCCTGCGGGATCACCCGCTGCTGCGTCTCAACCCGCACGACTGCGTGGTGCACCTGTCTGGCGCCTACGCAACGGGCAAGGAGGCGGTGGTGGAGGCGCTCCCTTCTCCGCGGATAATGGCCGTCCACATGCCATTCTCCACCCTCCCGGCCTCCGTCGTCGTCGACTCCAGCTCTGGCTGCAAGATCGTCTACGTGTGGCGCGACCCCAAGGACGTGCTCGTCTCCCTGTGGCACTACTACCGCAAGCTACGCCCCGAGGAAGCCCATGTGTCCGAGTTCCACGACCTCTACGAGTCGTTCTGCCAGGGGGACACCGTGTTTGGCCCTTGGTGGGACAATGTTCTTGGCTACTTCAGGGCCAGTGTGGAGATGCCCACCAGAGTGCTCTTCTTGAGGTACGAGGACATGCTGGAGGATACTGCCAGCGCCGTCGTCGCCATTGCCAACTTCGTGGGATGCCCATTCTCGGCAGAAGAGGAGAGAGCCGGGGTTGTCGATGCCATCGTCAAGCTTTGCAGCTTCGAGGAGCTCAAGAATCTGGACACCAATATGTCCGGGAGCAATGGGCATCTCATCAAGCTCCCAAGCTCCTCCTACTTCAGGAAAGGAGTCGCTGGAGACTGGGTGGGTCACATGACCCGGGAGATGGCCGACCGTATTGATTCAATTATTCAAGGCAAGTTCCAAGGTTCAGGTCTTGAGATTAAACGAGCCTCTACCTGATCAATCTTTTTATGTAATTATATATCATATATGGAGTGTTGATCATTATGCATTATAATCACTACTCCTATCTTCCGTCCCAAAAATAAAAACTCAATCCTAGATTTAAACCTGAATAAGAATTGAGTTTTTCCTGTAGGGAGTGCTTGTGATGCTTGTCAGGACGAACGCAGTAATAAATATATAATAGGGAGTGCTTGCGATATTTGTCAGTACGTATGCAGTAATAAATATTATTGATCAGGCACAGCTTTCTGTACGATTGTAAATTTATGGGAAAGTCGATTTACGATATGTGAACAACACTATTAGAACTAAATTTATGTGTAATTAACCAACACGCTACTGGTGCAGTATGTCTATATATAGCTCTCCTTTTATAGTTTTTCGATGGTTGTATATTCTTCGAGCAAGCTAGTATGTCCTTTCAGATGGGCCCGCCACTCAGCAGATTCCGAAGATAGCATTCGTTTTAATCGGATGTGATTTTGCAATTCGCAGTCGTTCGATGTGTAAATAATTGATAGTAATTTTCTTGAAGCAAATATATCCTGAAAAATATACACTACTGCACAAACGATTTTTACTCCATAATTTTTACAAACGGACCATAACTTGCCATGTCTGAAAAAATCGAGTAGTATTTTCGCGTACAGCTCCTTAAGAGCCCGTATGGAAAAATCGATTTTTCCATATGGGCGTATGCGAAAATAAAATTTGAAAATAAAATTTAAAAATAAAATTTTCAAAATTTGAAAATAAAATTTGAAAATTTAAAACTAGTTTATCTCATTCATATACACTTCAAATTGGATGATTCTTTTTTCTAAATGTTTATAAAACCATGCTTCTATCATGTTATTATGTTCTTACTGCTATTATTTTGGCATTTTTTCTTCTGACTTTGTTTTATAAATTGAAATTTTGAATTTCAAAACTTCAAATAATATTTTGAAGCAATAAACAATTTCCGCTGAAAAAGTCATGAAAATATAAGTTGTAGAACTCATTTATTTTGGTCATTTTTTCATCCGACAAAGTGATAGTAACAGTACACAAAATTAGCATATCTCTCTTATACTTTATAAAACCAAATTTACAATGTTACGATCAGTTTGTAGATTTTTTGTAGATTTTGAAGAGTTATATAACTTTGTTGTTGATGTCTTTTTCAGTTAAAATCATTTAGTATTTGAAAATATTGTCTCAAGTTGTTATATTTTGAAATTCAAATTCAAATTGTTCAAACAAAGTCATATAGAAAAATGACCAAAACAAAAGTTATAGATATTGATGCATTATACAACTACTACCCGAAAAATTATTTCAATTTTTTGTATTTTAAAATTCAAATTTTATATAGTTCAATAATACTCGGATGGAGAAATAACAAAAAAAAAGGATATATTCAATGAGTTCTACAACTTTGTTTTTGATAACTTTTTCATATGAGTTGATCTAGTGCCATAAAATTTGATTTGAAGTTTAAAGAGCGGCATGAAAAAAAACGATATTTGCATACGGACGCTTAAGGATTCCTCCTTCCCTCTCCACCAGTTCAAAATTTTTCACTCCCAACCTTACCATTCTATCATTCCTCACCTTGACGACCGAGAGCAGAGCGGCGCGGCACGCGCACTTGAAGTACTAATGCAGTTGGATCTAGTGGTTCTTGGTATCTGGATGAACCTTAAGGAAGCAAGGCAGAAGACATAGGGAGTGGTAGAAGGGAAGACATCAGAGGTGGCATGCCAACTGAATTACAGAGGGTTTGGCATGAGGGGTCAGTGTGCTAGGCTGCTAGCCTGACAGAGAGAAGAGAGGAGGATGAATTGGAAGGAGCTAGGCCGGATACTAAAGCTGTGTTTGGAATCCTGAGTTTCTAACCCCTCTCCATCGTATTCCGTACGCATGCTTTTCAAACCGTCTTTTTGCAAAAAATTTTATTAATATAATAGTAATCATATATAGTATTTTTTTAACCAGCGCAGATGAGGGGTACGGATTGATTGTTGTGTACCGATGGCATGATCAAATATGGTAATAGCACATACATTTAAATGACAGCAAAGCTTAGAGCCATCGCTGAATCTTAATCTCACATCTCCACGATGACCTTTCCAGTGGCATGGCCGCTGAGGCTCCTCGCCCATGCGTCCGCCGCCTTCTCGAACGGATGCCGCGAGTCGACCACCGTCCTGAGCTTCCCTTCCCGCATCAGCTCGAGCAGCAACCCCAGGTCCTCCTTGCTCATCTTCAGGCTCACCAGCGACAGCTTCTTCCTCCGGGAGAACAGCGTCACCACCGACGCCACGAAGTTGCCGAAGTTGGGGGCGACGTCGACGACCCTGCCATGGCTGCTCAGGCGCGGCTTGAACACCGACCACTTGTTCTTGTTACTGATGTTGACGATGTAGTCGTACTTCTTGCCGGAGGGGCTCGACAGCGCGGCCCCCTCCGGGGTCTTGTAGTCGAGGACCTCGTCGGCGCCGAGGCCAGCGACGAGGCCGAGGTTGCGCGCGCCGCATGTGGCGGTGACGCGGTGGTTGCCGAGCTTGGCGAGCTGGACGGCGTACGTGCCCACGCCGCTGGAGGCCGCGGTGATCAGAACGTCGGCGCCGCCGCTGGTGCCCGAGCCGTCGAACTTGGTGCCGATGGCCTTGAGCGCCTGGAGCGCTGTCAGGCCGGCGACGGGCACACCCGCCGCGTCAGCGGCGGAGATTCCGGCAGGGCGAGCGACGGTGAGCTTGTCCGATGTGGCCACGTACTCAGCAAGGCCCCCTGCTGTCTACATTGCAGATTTGCAGAAAGTAAATTGGTCAAGTTATATTTTTTTTAACGACTCGCACTACACAGAGCGAAGTTCTAGTGATATATAAAAAGAGAAAAATATAAGATTACAACCATGGAAGGTTATATATAGGAAGAAGAAAAAAATATACCATCATCCACACACTGACAACGCCAAACACAGACCTAGTAGAAAGTTAGCACCGGACCAGCTGCCGCTAAGTGGTATCGACCGCCGCTAAGCCAGCAACGGAAAACATCCGAGATTGCCCAAAACCCAACCCTTACAACTAATACAAAACCACGCTCTATCCAAATTTTTGGGATTCAGGGAGAGAGGGTGAGAGAGAAGAATCGAACCGCTCTCCGCCTAGACCATTCGACGTGGCCAACTTGCGGAAGATAGGACGCCGACATAAGAGGATAAGAATCTAGAGCGAGATTGCACCAATTGCTTGGGAGGTTTTGATAGAGGGGTGCCTAGACGACGTCTCCAAGGAGAGTAGCAACGGAAGAACTGCCGCCGACGTCTGTCAAGGTCCTAAAGAGAACCGAGACTGGGCTTTTACCAGGCAACCACACTAGAGGGAGTGAGACGGCACGACAACACCCTCAGGAGGGGAGTGGCGCTCGAACGCCACTGTTGCCAGCCCGGCCAAGGCCGTGCTGGGTTTTCACCCGCCGTAGACCCCCTGTTGCTCAAAAGCTGTCCTCCATTGCTCCAACTACCAACCCTTCACCATCAGCGTGTGGACATCACTGAACCAACGCCCCGCATTGGCCAGCCTTCACATGCCTCCACATCAGCCTCCCACTCTCCGCTACCGGACAGCCGACAAGCCGCTGCCACCACCCGCCGTGCCTCCTTGCGTCGTACTGGCTTCTACCGTTGCCAACCGCACCTCCTTGTGTCGTGCAGATCCTCAGGGCCGCTGTGCCATGGCCTGCAGCCTCCACTGCTGCCTTGTTGGCCTCCACCGCCGCCTGCACGTGCCAGTCGTGCCTCGCCGGCTTCCGCCTCCCCTTGCATGCGCCGGCCGCTCCTCCCCGACCTCTGTCGCCACCTAGACACGCCGGCCACGCCTCGCCGGTCTCCATCGCCGCTTGCACGCTCCCGTCGGCCTCCTCCACCATCTGGACGACCGCCCCTACCACGAGAAGCTGCCGTCTACCACTCCGGTGCCCACGCCTCCTACCCTGCCGCCACTTGCTGCCTCCGACGAAGACGTGCCGTCCCACCTCATCCGTGACGGCCTGCCGCCGAAACCTCGCCACCCTGACCGCCACCGTCGCCCGTCACCGCCGCCACCACTCATCCCCGCCGCCAGCCACCACCCGGCCAGATATGGCCGGGGTGGCGTGGATATGGACAGGGCTCCGCCGCCGTCGCCGCCGCCACCACCGTCAGCCCCCGCCGCCAACCACCCCCTGGTTAGATCTGGCCGGACTCGGCCCTGATCTGGCCTCCTCCGCCCTGGACAGCCTCCCCCAGCCGTCGAGCGTGGGGTGGGTGAGACGAGGCCCCGCCGCCGCCGTCCTTGCGGCCGCGTGGCTTTGCCAGCGCCCGCTCAGGCGGCGGTGAGGCAGGAGGAGTAGGAAACGGTGGGAGGAAGGTGGCAGCAAGGTGTCGTCTCTCATGCCGCCCAGGGGAGGGCGACGTGAGAGAGAAAGTTTTGGTCAAGTTATATTGGCGTCCAAGCTGGTGAAAAATTCGGTGCATTTTGAATCGAAAAATGATTTGCTGAGACGAATTTGGAGCCAGATCATTGGAAGTACGTACCCAGAAGTCTAGTTTGGAGACAACTTTATCACCAACTTTGAACTCGCGTACTGCAGAGCCAACCTCAACGATCTCTCCGGACACATTATTTACTGCTCAAAAGAATTATACAAGAGTGAGTACATCAATTTCATCATCGTTTCATGGTAAGAAAAAAAAAATGATCTGAAACGAATGCTACCTGGAATAAATGGAAATTTCGGGTGAAAGGGGCGCATCATCCCTTTCTGAGTCATCAAATCGGATTGATTGATGCTTGCAGCTTCTACTTTTACGAGAACTTCGTCCTTCTTCACAGAAGGAACAGGGATTTCCACAAACTGAAATCAAATTACCCCGAAACGTATATGGAATTCAAATAAATCACCACGGTAATTTGTTGACCAATTCCTCTCTTAGACAAACAGGGCTCTTCACATATAAATTAAACAGCACAACTCACGCAGAAATCCAGGCAGAAGTTCCCCATTGCGAATATGAAAAAGTAAGAACTTTTGAAGCAGATAGAACTCACCTTAAGGGCAGCGGCGCCGCCGCCGTAGCCACTGTACTGGACGGCGCGCATGGTCGCCGGCCTCTCGCCGGCGGCCATGTTCTTGGTGAGATCAGGTGATGTCTGCTCACGCCGTTGTCAGAACTGGTGAGCTATTTGTGAGACTGGAGGAAGAAGAAAGCTCCCCACTACTTCATACAACAGCTCCATTTGGTAGTTGAGCTATCTGCGTCTGTAAAGCTTGCGTTGGTGCACAAAGAATTTCGGAATAATTATATAAATTTTATAGTGATATTAAATTACACAGTCTCAAAGCATCTCCTGCTTAGTGGGCGGGCAATCATTGTAGGCAATCAGCTTTTGATGTACCGACTAGATTATTAAACATCACCATAACCACTGATGCTTAGACCTTGCGTGCTTTAATTTCTTTTCAGCAACTTGAAATATTTTATATGGAAGTCCTTTAACCATAAATAATCATGCGCCATTGATTTTTTTTTCATTTTTCGTGCCATCAATGAGCTACCGCCAATTAATAACCTATCCCCCGGATTCCCCCCCCCCCGCATCGCCCACGCGCTGGCGACACGGGGGGCGAAACCCTAGCGGCGCCGCCGCCTTTCCTCTCCCCCCTCCCCCCACCTCGCCGCCGGAAAGCCGGCGGGCGAGCCATGATGGCGGCGGCGGGGCCTCCTTCATGGCGGTGACCCTTCCCAGCGCGCGAGAGGCGGCGAACGGCGGCAGTTGGGGAGCAACAGCGGCGGCCGATCCCGGCGAGGAGACGGCAGATCCGGCGTCACCTTCGCCGGATCTGGCCATCCCCTGGCCGGATCCGGCCGGAGTGGGTGCTGGTGGCGGAGGAGGCCGCGGCGCGGCGACGCGACAAGGGCGGCGGCGACGGCACGGTGTCCGCAGCGGAGGCGGCAGTGACGGCGCGGGGACGCGGCAGCGGTGACGGCGTGGCAGCTGGTGGCGGCCGCCACGATGGCGAGATGCACGCGGGCGGCGGTGCTCGCGCCGCCGGGGGTGAGCGACGGCTGCGGTGCCGCCGGCCCTGGTGGCAGCGGGCCGAGCAACAACGGCGACGGCGGCGCGAGGCTCGCAGACGGCGGCTACCGACAGTGCGGCTGGTGATGGGCAACGGCGGCGGTGCCAGTGGCAGCCGCGGCTGCGACCTGAGGTAACAGCGGCAATGCCGTCGGTGCGGAGGCAGAGGCCTCGGAGCTTGTCGCAGCGGCGGCGTCATCGGCTGCTGTGGCACGGTGGGAGGAGGCACGATGGTGCGTTCGGCAGCAGCGGCTGCGGTGGCGGTGACCACGGTCGCCGGAGGCGCCGGAGGCATGGGGGCCTCGGACGGCTAGCTAAGGGGGTGGTAGACGGCTACATCGGGCCGGCACGGCATTGTTTGGAGGAGGGGTCGGAGACCGGCTTGGCGAAGAGTGGCGCAGTCAATGACAGTGGAGCCGGCTCGGCGCGAGAGGCGCGAGCGGTGGAGTTGGAGGCCGCCTTGGCACGAGAGGCGCGGCCGATGGAGGGAGGCCGGATTGGCGCGAGAGGCGCGTCCGGTGGAGGAGGCCGGCTTGGCGCGAGAGGCGCGGCCGGCGGTGGAGGAGGCGACCTCGGTGTGAGGAGGAGCTGCCGGTGGGTGTGGCGAGTCTTTGGTGCATGAAGACTGGCCGGCGGGGGACGCCGGTGCAAGGGTCCCGCATGTCAGCAGAGCTGGAGAGGTGGTGGAGCATCGGTGTGTCAGCCAAGGATTCACAAGGGTGATCTTGTCTTTGTTCCTTTGTTGGTCTAGCGGCAGTCAGTCACGCTTAGCGGCGGCCGGTCTGGTACTAGCCTTCTCCTGGTTGTGTGTTGGCGCTGTCGGTGCGTGGGTGGTGGTATATTTTTTTTCTTTTTGCTGGTTACGACCCTCCAGGGTTGTAATCTTGTAATTTTTTCCTGCTCTATCAATAGAACTTTGCACCGTCTCGTGCGAGTCGTTAAAAAAAATTAATAGCCTATCCGAACTGGCCGTAGTTTTTTTTTTCTAGTGACACTCTGATCAGGAGAAATCAACCCGGCTATTGTTAACATCTGCCAGTTTTGGACTGTAGTAAGTGTTTAAGTTATGCATTTTGTCCCTCGGTTATTTTTCAATAATAGAATATAAGTTTCATCCTCTGTACTACTATGTCCAGCCATGGACACTAACACCTGAACCTGTTCGACCATATACCATATCCCTGCAAACGGGCAACACCATGTCACAGTCTAGTGATCTTCAGGTGCAAACCTGCAATTGGGGCTCTGTTTAAAGGACTGCAAATGTGAAGGGAAGGATCATACTGCAAAATCATTGCTATGGAAGACATACGACAGCACAAGCTACGATGCTATGAATGCGTAGTCAGTCACAACTCTGCGAGGGTATATTTCTCCCGTCAAAAAAAAAAAAACAATCATGCTGGATAACGTGTTCTTCATCTGTCCCATAAAAAACTTAATATTAGGTTTGTATCTGGACATATATTTATATTCAGATTCAAAATTAGGATTGGGTTTTTTATGGGACAGAGAAAGTATGTATAAATACATCTTTAGAAATAGATTTTTCATTTTTACGGGGGGAGTACTTACAAATGAAAATACACCAGGGTGTGCATAATTGTGGGCACCAGATTTAAATATTGGTAGTATATGTACCATCGATATGGATTCGGCAGTGGAAATATCTATATGTATCTCACCGCAACACTTTTTGTTCTTTCGCTAATTTCCTTATATAATGCAAAGCGGAGAGAGAATACTTGTTTGACAAGTTTAGAGCATCTAAGTCAGTATTATCGATTGCAAAGTTATAAAAGAAAATTTAACAATTAATAACTTTGTTGAGCTACCTGTTCACCCCTCCTACCAAATATCACTCATCAGCCACTAATAATCAATTCAACAACAGAGCCAAAGGATTAAAAATTCACAATCCGTCTCCATCCCTAGCTAAAAAAAAAATTGCTCGCTTACCAAGTTACCATGATTAACATTTCTTTTATATATAGTACCAGTAGCTGCCAAGCAAAGTCACATTATGGGCATGTTTGGATTCTTCAGGCTATTAAATATCCTTACAGAATCTTGCTATTTAGTAGTATTAAACGTAAATTACTAACAAAACTCATTCCATAACCTCTAGGTTATTTTGCGAGACGAATCTAACGAGGTATATTAATCCATAATTAGTGGATGATTACTGTAGCATCATTGTAGCAAATCATGGATTAATATACCTCGTTAGATTCGTCTTACAAAATAGCCTAGGACTTATAAAATAGGTTTTGTTAGTAATCTACGTTTAATACTCCTCAATAACAAGATTCCAAAGAGTCCATCGAATAGCTCAACGACCAGCTTGCTTTCTGGTATCTTAGCACAAACAATCATGTCAGTCTACTAATAAGTGAGGAAAATATCTTATACACATAGGTTTTCCCAACACACTTCGTGCACATTTTTCTAATAGCCGTAACAAAATGGATAAAATTCTGACATATCATTACTCTTAAAATTGTAAGAATTTTTTTCTATAGATAAAATATAATGAATTTAATTATGAGACTTACATTGATCGGTTTTCCGATTTCTTCGGTCTCCACATATTAAAACACATGAATCCGAACACCGAATCTTCACCTATTATAAAAGTTTTAAGATATTTTTGCCGAAGACTTTCATACGTCGCGCAGTCTGATTCCCTCCAGTATGTGAAACGGACAACTCTAGGGTTTGCTATATGGCTTGATTCCGAGATCGATACGATGCGATTTTGCTCTAATTCTTGGAAAAGGGAAATAGAAGGAGATAAGGATCAAAACCCCTCAATCAATTTCGGATTATCTCCGCGAATGCGGATGGATTTCATCGAAGGAGGCGGTGGTTTCTAGCGGCGTCGGGAAGCTGTGGAGTCGGACAGAGGTAGGAGACGACACTGTGGCATTGGGACCCACGTGACATTGGGACCCACGTGACAGGGAGAGGAGAAGGGATTCTGATTAGACTTTCTGGTTGTTTGATGGGCCAGATGCGCGCTTTCAGGCCGAGGTGGAAGGGAGGAGTATGGGCTAAAGAAAAAATGGGCTCAAAATGGCCCAGGAGAAAAGAGGGTTTTCATTTAGATTTTCATTTAAATAAATGCTAAAATAATGTTTGTATTATTAAAATTAGCAATGGAGCTCTGAAAATACTGAAAATTTTTCACATAGTGTAATTAATCATGGAGAATTTAATAAAAATTAAATCCAGCCATAGTTTATTTGGAAAATTCTATTTCCACATTTACCGTGACTTTTATGACCCTTTCTTTTCTTCAACATCGTATAAATGTATTCCAGTAAAAAAACATCGGATACATCTATAGTTGCGATTTTATATTTTAATTAATTACATAATGTAAATATTTCTCAACCTTTTCTTAAATTTCTCATGTTTTTTCCCATTGCAATGCACAGGCATTTTTTCTAGTAATAAAAACAGAAACCGAAAGAAAAGACCGATCACCGAAAAACCGACAGTTTGGTTCTGTTACGGTGCGGTCCGGTTCGGCTTTCGGTTGTCAATTTTTTATGCCCACCCCTATAATCCTGCTGTCCTGGTCTCTTCCCTAACATATCTCTTTCCTCTCCTCCTCAAGTTTGGTCTCCACTCCAGTGCACCACCGTAGAATCCATCACACTACTACATAAATGATATTCTTGTACGCTGGGCCCTGTTGTTTCTAGGCGGACCATGATTGGGACCGCATGAGATAATGGGGCAACCGGCGCCGGGCGGACGCCCGCACGGGAAAATAGATTATCCAGTGCGGGCATCTTAATCCAACCGCACAGGATAATCCTCATTATCCCGTGCGGTTGACTTAAGTGGATCGCACAGAAAAATCGATTTTCGCGTGTGGGCTTTTTAAGTGAACCGCACAGCCATATAAAATATCCCTTCCTATTTTCCCTCTCACGCACTTCAAATTTTTCACACCCTCTCTCCTCCCCTCCCCTCTCTCTCCTTTCTCTCTCTTCCTCTTTCCTCCCCTCACTGAGCGGCCTCTTTCCTCTCCTCCCCTCCTCTCCTCACCGAGCGCACGGGGCTCCACGGGCGCCGCCGCTGATGGCGCGGGAGGCGACGCAGCTGCTATCGGCGGAGCGGTGGCGAAGGCAAGCTTGCGGTGAATACAATGACGCCCATCG